GAAAAAGATACTATTTTTTTTCTTGATTTATTGAAATGAAAAAATAAAATGAAATATTTATTTTCATCTCGACATTATTTTATTAATCTTTTTCAAAAGTTTTCATCAAAACTCTCTAATTTACTAACATTATATTATTGGGACTTGGGAATAATATTTATTACCTTTTCTATTCATTTTTATTTGTCCAGTATTAATTTGACATTCTTCTTTTAAGATAAATAAATACAAAATGATAATATTAATATATTATTTTTTAAATATAATAAATTTAATATTTTTAGAAATGTGTTGAGAAATATCTATAATAATAATAATAAGAAGAAGAAGAAGAAGAAGAAGAAGAAGAATAGATTAAAAATTAAGTAATAAATCATCTTTTGACTTTTTGAACTGAACAAGCAAAAATAAATATTTATTTAACACAGTAAATAAGTAAAAATAAACGAGGCGGTAATGCACACTATTTGTTCGGAGAATATTTTTCACTTACCAATAAAATACTGAGAAACATTTCCAAGAATTTTTTTCACATAAACTGCTTTCTAGAAATATTTTTTTCTTGAAAAATGGACCAAACACACTGAATTTCTGCATCGAATAGTTATTTATATATGCTACAAATATATAGTGAACAGACACCTATTGGTAAGGCTGCTAAGATATACCATACGTTACAATTATTTTCTCTAATGCTCTATATTAGTAAAGTTATCTTTGTGGGGGTATGGGTTAGATCTCTCATCATTATAGTAATATATAGTCATGCTTATGATATGGGATGAAATTCCTTGCGTAACTTATCTACCAACCAGCAGTACTCTTTCGTTCTCAAATTATCTGTCATATTTCTTTCGTAGATAAAAAATTTAATTAATTTCATTCTTATTTATGTCTTGGAATATAGGAGTAATATCTCATCATTAAATATTTTATTTATTCAGATATTTATAGTCTTCAAAATTAATTACTATTAAAAAAATAAAATGAAAATGAAAATTAATTATTTTAAACTTTTAAAAAATAATTATTTTTAAAAATCACACAATTTGAGACAAAAAGAATATAATTCTCCTTTTTTTTAAAAATAAAATATATAGTTATAGTACTATTTCTGAAGATATATTCTGAGCAAAGAATATTTCTAAGGGGGCAGCTTTTACATGGTGAAAAAAGGCACAATGTGGATTTTTCCTGGTAAAAGGACTCACTAAATACTGTGTCAGTGTATAATTTATTGTATCATCACTCGTAATTATGGAAATCTATCTATGTAAGCATATCCTACATTTCCATTTAGTCCCAATCAAAACAAAAGACTTAAAAAACAAGTAAAACAAACATTTCTGTCTCTTAACTTAAAATTATGATCTTGTCAGAAGGAATATTTATACTACTATACATAATTTAGCTATAACTTAAATGTAGAACTAATAAATGAAGACGATATTGTAGCTATATATTCATGAATCATGTTTGCTTATGATTTTTATTCCAGGTCTAATTTCATGTGATAATTAATTCAAACTTAGTCAAACTTTTTTTATATATATCAATCATTTGTTCTAATAATATTTCATTATGACGATTTAATTTTTTTTTAAATCGATACTTTAGGATTGACCTAGACGTTTTTTTTTGGGGCACGTAATTATTGATGACACTTTTTTTTTTCTATTTTGTGGACGTCAGTATTAGTGACCACATACGCTTACAATACTTTCACCGTCCAAATGATAATGAAATAGCCTAGTCTTTCTTATGGGGACCATCCTAAGTTTTTAAGACTATCTAGCTAGTTTAAGAAAATATTATACGTGACTATCAGGAAATTCCAATAATTGACTGTTAAAATTACTAATTAATTATGTTTTGAAACAGGACACAACTTAATTTATTTAATTTGTAGTATTTTGTTTGTTTGCAAACTTCGGCGGGTTAGGTTCCTTTCTTAAGTTGCGGTGTTCCTCAAAATCTGCTTCTTTAATTAATCAACTAATAACAAATCAAAACGACAAGTATATATATATATATATATATATAACAAATAATCATATTGTGTAGTTTTTCCGCTCGCCCAATAATATTTTTAACAGAAATAAACAATAAGAAAATAAAAATACGAGCAACCTTAACTTGGTGGTAAGTGCTTATTGTTGTTTATTTTAAACCAAACAACCTAATCTTAATCATTAAAACTTACATTGAAAATATATGGTATAATGTAATTATGATCAAGTGATAAGCATGTTACGATAAAAACATGTCTGGTATTCATTATTTTAATGTAAATTAGACCAAACTGATGTTTTGTTTGACCATTAATATCAAAGATTTTCGCTTCTCCAACTTAATTAACTTGATTTTAAAAAAAAAATAATAATAATAATCCTTGAGGTTCACATATATGTTCCTTAGTATTCAATAATTACAATTTTTAGCATGTAACACGCAAAAATATTAAGGTAGAAGTAAGGTTTCGTATATATTCTTTTCAGATTTTATTTATGATATTTCACTAAATGTGTTTTTGTTGTAAACTTAATGTAGTAGTATCTTCATATTCAAGATCCGATTGATACGAATTGTTACAACCTGTTGCAATCACGATTGAAAAGAAATATATTTTTTTTCAAATTACATAGTAAGAGTTATGTGCATGTGTGGCTTGGCTGGCTCATGGCAACGTATCATTAGACATTAATTAACAAAGAAAACTGATTTTATTTATTGTTAATTGCTGTTAATTGTCAGGTTGTGAAGAGGATACGTAAAGTTGAATTTGGTATCATGTACAAGTAGTCAAAAAGATGATAATTTAAGGAATCCCAAAATATTTGGGCTCCATAAAATAATGTGATTTTTGTGAACTTCAAGTAATAGAGTAATAATAACACTAATATTTGCGTGTTCTTCTCGCAATATGAAGGTTCTCCCTCCATTAATTAATTCGTTCATTAATACCAATATGACTTAGGGTGAAATTCTTAAAATTTGAATCCTCAACATGAAACAAAAAAATCAATGACCAAATTCAGATTGTCGACAAACTCTAATATAGGGACTAAATATCGAGTGAAAATAGACTCTCTCTCCACATGCACATATTTATATATACATTTTTCTAACTTTTTCACCGTTACCAACATGATTTTAATATTATTTTTTTTGAGTTTTGATTAATTCAATTTACACTGAGAAGTAAAATATTTTCTGTTAAAAATGATTTATTCGAAGGGTTCAAATTATCTAAAAAATTTCTATATTAAAGGCAACTCTATAATAAATAATGCTATAATAATTTCGTTCATTTATACACAAATACAATAGATAATCAGAGAATATGTGTGCTCCAATTTATTTATTTTTTCATATAATGTTTGATATCCATATTGTATTTGTATCTTTTACAAATTACCACTTTGAGGTCATCTTAATTCTTGATCTATGTCCATGATATCCATATTTGGCAGAGGTAGTTTTTTTTTTTTTTTTTGACGATGAAACAAGATCTAAATTCATTCAAAAACAAAAGAAAAAAAAAGAGAGGAGAAAAACAGGCATTCTAGAAGTTAAACTATCACTATTATAATTTATTTATTTTAATAAGCTACTGACGCAGATCCAAACCAATCAAAAAACAATAAGTAACAACGATCAATTAGTCTCAAAATCAGGATTTTTAAAAAGAAATGTAAGAGTTTACCGTACACATTTTTTTTTTTAGTTAATTTAGAAAAACGAACTATTTAATTCTGGTAGGCCAAAAATAATGGAGGCTAAAGGCTGACCTCTCATTTTACAGGCAACAAATTGAACAAATTCTACTTGTACCCAAAAATGTGTCACTGCCATACAGTGTGTCAATTTAATTGCCTAATTCTATGCAAGGAGGAGTACTCTTCCCTTTTTACCCCACTTTAACCTTGCAAATAGAGAAGAATGATACTTATAAATCAAGTAACATAACCACCTTCTTCAACATACTACCAAAAACATTTACTTCCTCTTCGCCTTTTTCAAACGGAGTAAGTAAAAATGAATGTTTTTTAAAAAAAAATTATGAAAAAGGATTGACAAAGTGAAAATCGAACAATTATCAACAAAATGAAAGTTCATGTAGTCAATCAGCAAATCTATTGAGATTTCTTAAAAAATAAATATTTATTTAAAATATAATAAATAAATAAAAATGAATAAAATAATAATAATATAAAATTAGACATTTCTAACAAACTACCATGATTTTAATGGTGGTACAATAAGGTACATAGCCATTGGTTGAACAATTGAAGATGAATCTTTTGCGGCAAAAAAAGGAGGTTCTTTTACAATTTTAAAAAAATTAAGTCCAAGAACTATTTTTTTTTCTTCATTATTTGCGTTGTTAGGTAAAAAATATTTCATTTATCCTTAATTAAAAAGGTCTTGAATTCAAATATACGATGTTTAGTAGCCAATACAAAATACTTCTAAAGTAAGATTTTTTGATATAAACTTAAAAGTCGAAAACTTTTTTTTTTTTTTTTACCCTCCCCTAGGAGCTCCCACCCCTTTTGCTCTCTCGGTGACTCGAACTCGCAACCTTCGGGTTGAAAGTGAGGGGTGCTTACCATCCGAGCAACTCCCTCTCGTCAGTCGATTTAAAAAAAAAAAAAAGAAGACAAGATTTAGGGCTCATTTTGTACGATATTAAATTTGAGATCAACTTTAAAATCAATTTATCTCATGTTTGGTTAGAATAAAATCGCGAAATACTGAAATTAGTTATTCCAAAATTGTAATGTTATTTTTATCCCACCCTAAAAGTGAAATAACAACCCTTCTTGAAATAATTAATTTCGGAATAACTTATTTTTGGCGGAACGAGCCATTGTAGAATTCCACAAGAGTTGTGCACAGGAGATTGGTTCCAATTAGCTAGCTGATAGTTAATTGGGCAGTAAATTCTCACGTGGATGACGCGTGTCCCTTTAGACATAAAGCACCTTCTCCTTCCTTGAGTCTCCATCCATCCATTAAAACGGAGCTACCCAACCCCGTTCGAGCTCCACACATCCATCCTATATTTCACATACATACATTATACATACATACTGCTCCCGCCCATCTTCCTTAAAATCTCCGGCAAGAACAGAAATTCTCACCATTGTTCTTGATTCTTGGTTCTTGAATTTATAACTATGTTTTATGTCTAAGGTTTTGCTGTAATAATCACCATGGGTGCTTGTACCTCAAAACCTCCAAGACCCAATCCTTATTCCCCACAAGAAATTCTTCCCCCACCGGAAACACCAAACGTCGCTGAAACCCAGAAAGAAAATGAAGCTAAAAAATCACCTTTTTTCCCATTTTACTCTCCCAGTCCTGCTCGTTTTTTTCTGTCCAAGAAATCACCTGCCCGTCAGTCTTCTGCTTCTAAGAGTGCGAATTCTACTCCGGCGAGGTTGTTTAAACGACCTTTTCCTCCTCCTTCTCCGGCGAAGCATATTAAAGCTCTGCTTTTGAGACGGCATGGTAGTGTTAAGCCTAATGCTGCAGCTATTCCGGAAGGAGAGGAAACTGAGGGGGCTAACTTGGATAAGAGTTTTGGGTTTTCTAAGCAATTTGCGAGTAAGTATGAAATTGGGGAGGAAGTGGGTAGAGGCCATTTTGGGTATACTTGTTCTGCTATTGTCAAGAAAGGTGAACTTAAGGGTCAGAAAGTGGCTGTTAAGGTCATTCCAAAAGCCAAGGTCTCTTCTTCTCCTCTCTGTTTAGTCCTTAATGCATTGAAGTGTATATGCATATTGAATTACTTACAATGTCTGATTCTTGTTGAAGTACATGGTGGGAAAAGTTGGTCAATTTTATGAGTCCATTTTCTTTGATTTAAGTTCTGTTGGGGTTTTAGATTTGTTCTCTCTGTATGTCATGAACACCATTAGATCATCTTTTCACTCTGTTAAGTCTCCCACCGCCAAGATGTATTTTAATTTTTACTTTTTCTCCTCCTATCTTGAAAATTTGGGGCTTTTTTCACTTGTAAATTTGGTGATTCAAAACCAAAGTTCCAGATTCTTAAGCTACTTTTACTTTTTTATTTATTTTTTATTATTAAACTCTCCTTTTCTAGGAAGTTGCTCTTAAGAGCTGTACTGGTCTTGTTTTGTTGAACTAGTAGCTTTTGTTAGGAATTCCAATTGGAATTTATTGGGGTCCATGAAATATTTGAAAAAAAGTATAGTGGTTTTTACTATTTAATATAGAGTTGGTGGGTTTTGAGCACTATAGAATTGCAAGCTCTTGTCCTTTTGCTTTTGAAGAAGACATGAATTGTTGCAAATTCACTGTGTCTTGTGTCCCTGCCTGACTCCTAAAGATTTTTACTTTTTGTTCACAAAATCATCTATGCAATTTAAATTATTCATATCTCCCTCAGAACTTCAAGGGCTGACTTTTCCCATGTGACTGTGCAAGTCACTGCATTAAAAACTGGGCAACATTGTAACATATCAAAAGGGAAAAGAAATAGAAAAATTGAATAGGATTATCTTTTGTGGCAAGAACTCCTCTTTAAAAGGTCTCAGTATCATCACTAGGTTTAACTATTCATGAAAATAATTATTTGGTTGCTTAAAAGATTCTGTAGCAGACTACTTAAGAAAAAGGAAAAAGAAAGGTTTCAATAGGTGATAGGTTTAGAGAAATTTGCTACTTGACCTAATAAGACCATGTCATATTTTGTAGCCTTCACATGGAGTTAGATTATTGTTACCGCTGACTTATGACTCATTATATTTGTATGAATTAAACTGAATTCACTTTTGGGGGTTTAAGTTTGTTATAAGCAATTATAACAAAAAAATTTTTGGTCAGATGCAATTCTTCACTGTAGTCTGACCCTCTGAACAGCAGTCTCATACTCCAATTTTGTTGTCTTTCAGATGACAACAGCTATTTCCATTGAGGATGTCAGAAGGGAAGTTAAAATTTTGCGCGCCTTAACAGGACATAACAATCTCATACAATTCCATGAAGCATTTGAAGATCGGGATAATGTCTACATAGTGATGGAGTAAGAATCTAAACCACATTAGTGAGATCTAATTCATTTCTTGTAAGGTTTTTCCTGTCTGTCTTAGTGACACTCCTTAAGGAATAGGACACAATAATATAGCGCTCATCAGAGAAGAGAGTACCCCCTTGGCCTGGTGATAATTCATGTAAGTACAACATGGAAGAAAGTTTGGGTACTAAGCCACAACTTAGTTACTCAAAGAAAGTGCATAATGTTAAACCTTATAGCATCAGGCTTTAGAAGAATTTCTTTTGAATCCCTAGCTTGTCCTTTTTAGAATATGAAAGCTAAGGAAATTCTTGAAAATTGCTGTTCAGGTTATGCCAAGGAGGAGAGCTCCTTGATAGAATTCTTGCACGGTATGTCTTTGTTTGATTTAGGGAATTTTACTTCTAATTCATTGATTTGTTTCTTTAAGATATTTCTATTTGGGGATAGTATTTAATTTCCTTCTCATTTCTTTTGGTAGGGGTGGGAAGTACTCAGAAGAGGATGCAAAGGATGTCATGGTACAAATATTAAATGTTGTTGCATTCTGCCATCTCCAGGGTGTTGTGCACCGTGATCTTAAACCCGAGGTAAACATATTCCTCAAACTGGCATTGCAAATTAGAGCATTAGTTACTTTTTATTAAAAAAAGAAAACGGAGAGAAGCACTTCATTGTTTTAGTTTTTCTGTAACGTGTGTGGTATGCTAATGATGCCAAAGAGTGCCTTAAGCTTATACTTTGATGGACGCTGAAGATCCTCTGAATACAAAGTGAAACTGTTTAAATATCTTTCCTTGCTTGTAACGTAGCTGCTGTGCACATCCATCCTCAAAAAACCTTTATATGATAATTATCATGGTGATTAACTAACAAGGACATGCCTTTTTTTATGTATCATATCTCCTTTTATTTTCTTTTGGTATTTTTGCAAAAGTATCTCATTTTTTCCATTTCCTGTTCAGAATTTTTTGTTTTTGTCGAAAGATGAATCCTCCCCGTTAAAAGCCATAGATTTTGGCTTATCAGATGTTGTCAGACCAGGTTAGTTTTTACACATGCAGGTTCTATGAATTCTTATATTTGTCTTCTCCATTAAACATTTATATAAATATGATGTATACAGATGAAAAGCTTAATGACATTGTTGGAAGTGCATATTACGTAGCACCAGAAGTTCTGCACAGATCATATGGTATAGAGGCTGATGTGTGGAGTATAGGTGTAATATCATATATTCTTCTGTGTGGTAGTCGTCCTTTTTGGGCTCGCACAGAGTCTGGAATCTTCAGGGCTGTTTTAAAGGCTGATCCAACTTATGATGAAGCACCTTGGCCTACGTTAACTTCGGAGGCAAAAGATTTTGTCAAGCGACTATTGAATAAAGATCCTAGAAAAAGAATGAGTGCTGCTCAAGCATTATGTGAGTGTTTTCTCCTCTGAATTTTCTTGGCATCCTTTTTCTTTATATTGCCTCTTCTCATGACCCCCTTGTTCAGGTCATCCTTGGATGCGTAATCATAGTGGTGCAAAACTACCGCTTGATATTCTTATTTTTCGACTCATGAAGGCATATATGCGGTCATCCTCTTTGCGTAAGGCTGCTTTAAGGGTGTGTATATTATTTAGCTGGAACTATTGATATAACCTGATATATATCTCTCTGCCCTTGATAGTGCTATATCTTTTGATTTTAGGTTTGAAATTGTTTATAAGGATCTTAAGTTACCTTTGCCTTTTATCGTTGGTGAAAACTACCACTTGGTATTCTCATATTTCGTCTCGTGAAAGCATATCAATCATCCTTTTAGTGTAAGACTGCTTGAAGTGTGTATATTATTTAGTTGGAACTATCAATATTACCTGATATATCTGTCTCTGCCCTGATAGCCGAACTACTTACGGTCACCTATATCTTTTGGTTTTAGGTCTGAAGTAGCTAATAAGATTTTCAAGTTACCTTTGCCTGTTGTCTTTGGTAAAGGTTTCTGTATACTTTTTCGATAAGTAATTAGGTGTCATACTAAAGATGGATAATAAGAACTAAGGTAGTGCGGGAAAACATGGTGATTCCCTATCATATCTAACTAGGAATCAGTATCATATGGGTACATATCATATGCAAATCCATATGATACTGATTCTTTCTCATATGGGTTCATAAAGCTCTACGTTTTATTCAGCATCTAGCAGCTCTGATGCTTAATAGTCTTGGTAGCATTTGACTTGTTAAATTGCACCTAATACTTTTCCCTTTGATAGGCGTTGTCGAAAACTTTGACAGCAGATGAACTGTTCTATCTAAAAGAACAATTTGCATTGATGGAGCCAGACAAAAATGGCAACATAAAGCTAGAAAATATAAGATCAGTTAGTATCTTGACTCTCTCATCTTAGCTATTCTGTGCTGTTTGCTCAAAGCCTAAAGGTCTTATCTTCTTACTCCTTATCTAAAAGGTGTTATCTCCTTGCTTTTTTTGTTCCGTATAGGCACTAATGAAATATGGAACAGATGCTATGAAGGAGTCTCGGATTCCAGATTTTCTTGCCTCGGTATTGACAAAACCACCATTTGTGTGTTTCTATGCTTCTTCTGTGGTTCTAGATTATGAATAGTGGTTTCTGATGTTGTCTTTGACAGCTAAATGCACTTCAATATAGAAAGATGGATTTTGAAGAATTCTGCGCAGCCGCCTTGAGTGTTCATCAGCTGGAGGCTCTTGAGCGCTGGGAGCAACATGCTAGGTGTGCATATGAAATCTTTGATAAGGATGGCAATAGGGCTATTGTTATCGAAGAACTTGCATCTGTAAGTTTTCGTTTGTTTGTTACAAATGCCAGTTATTGCTCTCATGTTAGTGTTGTATCTCTGTCAGTTGGACTTTTTGAGAATACAGGATGTTGTATGTTTCATTATACGTTTAATGCCTAATATTATGATCAAATCTCGCTTTCAGGAACTTGGACTAGGTCCTTCAATACCAGTTCATGCTGTCCTCAATGACTGGATAAGGCATACAGATGGAAAGCTAAGTTTTCTTGGTTTTGTGAAATTGTTGCATGGTCCTTCCACCCGAGGACTTGCAAAGGTGCAGTAACATTTAGACCGCTTTCAAGAATGCCCGAAATACCAGAGTCTAGACATTGTGGCTGAGATAATCTTCAAGCATTTGAACGTTACAGATATCAGCCACGTTGCACTGAAACGCCAAAATTCCTACCTGCTCTGAATTCAATTTGCTGGAGTATGTTTGATTCACGGATTTCACTCTCAGCACGCATTTGGTTGCTTTTACTTCCACACACACCATGTTGTGTAAAGATTTCTGATGTTGTGCGGGGTAAACATTGGACTTGCAGTTGTTTGTTACCAAGGGGAATGGTCCTGGTTGCAACTCCTGCCAACAAGATGTAGTTACTAGTTTGCCACTTAAATTGGGATTGTGGTGTCAGTATAGATTATAGGGGGCCTTGCTGGAATTGATTGATTTATATTTATTGTTCAAATTCAAATTTGAGTCCAGGCTAAAAATTGCCTTGGAGTTGATTTGTAGTATCTTCTTTCCTAGCAGATAAAGGTACTTACCTTCCTATTTGGAAACCAAATGACTAAAATAATACACATTCCACAATCAATGGGAATGAGTAAATATTGACATGATATTTCACCTGCTCTGCTTCAACTGAGTCAGTGTTGATTGCTGGTCTAAGAGTATATGTTATTTTCTGAGATTTTAGATTTTTCTTGTCTTCTTACCTACTTCAAATTCACACTGAATGGATTTTTTCTAGAATCTTGCTATTATAACAAAACATGTGATGAAAGATAACTTAGGAATCACTTTATTCCTTACTGAATAAATGAGAATATTGTTGATCAAAGAACATTTAATTAATCCTTTTTATTAAGAATAACAATGACAATTACTATTACTGATGACGATGTTGAGAAACTCTGAGTTGTAGATATACTAGCTAAGGAGAGAACTGAGAATACAAGAAACAAAACAAGATAGCTTTTTGATAATCTATAATAATGTAATATATTGACACATACTAATTTCTAAAAAAAAACTCTCCAAATAATTGCTACAACTTCAAAAATAAATAAATTATGTAGTAGTTACCATAAGGAGCCTATAGCCTTATACTATACTCCCTCTGTCCACAATTGTTTGACAGATATACTAAAAATAGATGTTCAAGATTAATTGTCAATTTAAACAATCAAGAAATAATTAGTCACTTTTTTCCAATTCTGCCCTTAATGATAGTGTAGTTAAATTGAAAAGTTATGTGGACTTTTGGTATTCTTGATATAGTAGGGTTATATTAATCAAAATTACACTTGTATTAAATTTTCCTTGAGGGATGTGCATGACCTTACCCTGACAAACAATTATGGACGGAGGGAGTAATAAATTATCTCTAATTTTAGGTTTAGTCATATGCTGAATTCCTTAATTTGCAGGGCATTTTTTTTGTAACATGTTATCACAGTCGCCGTAACTCCGGTTGTAGCATTTTCCGATATGCTACTTGTTAAACCCTACCGGAGAGCCCTCCATAGCTCAACTCGGCAAGTTCAATCCAAAACCCTAGACTCACCACCTTCTTCCTCCAGCACCCTTTTTGTCGACAGGGCTGTATCCATTCTTAAAGGCTACGACCCAATTTCCTTGGACTCCATTTCTTCCCAATTCACCCCTCAATATGCTTCTTCCGTGCTTTTCCAATGCCGATTCGATAAACCCCTTGTTCTAAGATTCATCAACTGGGCGCGCAACCGCCAATTCTTCAATCTTCAATGCAAGTGCATTTCCATTCATATCCTCACTCGTTTCAAGCTCTACAAGACTTCCCAATCCCTTGCGGAGGATGTTGCTTTGAAATTCGGACATAACAAGGGTGAATTGGTCTTTTCATGTCTCAGGGACACTTACCATTCTTGCAAGTCCAGCTCTGCTGTGTTCGATTTGATGGTAAAATCCTACTCTCATTTGAAAATGATTGACAGAGCTATGAATATCTTTGAATTAGCCAAGTTTAATGGGTTTATGCTCACTGTTTTGTCCTATAATTCCATTCTTGATGCGTTGATCAGGGTTTCATGTAATGGGTCTTTCGAATTAGCTCAAAAGTTTTATGATGATATGGTTCAATCTGGGGTTTCACCTAATGTATATACTTATAATATTATGATCCGAGGCCTTTGTGCAAAAGGGGATCTGCAAAAGGGTTTGGTTGTTTTCAATGAAATGGAAAAAACTGGCTGCTTGCGAAATGTTGTAACCTATAACACCATAATAGGTGGTTATTGTAAGATAGGTAAGGTTGATGAGGCAGTCGAATTGTTGAAGCTAATGCAAGTGAGGAACTTGGAACCAACTGTGGTCACATATAATGCTATTATTAATGGGTTGTGTCGAGAAGGAAGAATGAAAGAGACGAGTGAGATTTTGGAAGAGATGAGGGGAAATGGATTAATGCCTGATGAAGTAACCTATAACACACTGGTAAATGGCTATTGTAGAGAGGGTAACTTTCACCAAGCACTTGTTTTGCACTCGGAAATGTTAAGGAATGGGCTGTCTCCAGATGTTGTGACTTATACTTCTTTGATTAATAGCATGTGCAAGACTGGGAGTTTGCACCGCGCAATGGAATTCTTTGATCAACTGCATGCTAGGGGATTATATCCCAACGATAGAACTTACACAACATTGATTGTTGGTTTTTCTCAGCAGGGTCTTATGAATGAGGCTTATAAGCTTTTGAATGAAATGATTTCAAATGGCCTTTCCCCTTCAATTGTAACTTACAATGCGTTAATTAATGGGCATTGTGCAGTGGGCAGGATGGAGGATGCTTTACGCGTGACTCAAGAGATGGAACAGAGAAGGCTGGTCCCAGATGTTGTAACTTATAGTACAATAATATCTGGGTTCTGTAGAAACTGTGGGTTGGAAAGAGCATTCTGTGTTAAGCAGCTGATGGTTGAAAAAGGGGTCTTACCTGATGTTATTACTTATTCATCCCTAATTCAAGGTCTTTGTGAGCAACAAAGACTGACTGAAGCTTGTGAACTTTTCCAAGAGATGTTGAGAGTAGGTCTGCAACCAGATAAGTTTACATATACTACACTTATTGGTGCATACTGTGCAAATGGGGATATTAAAGGTGCTTTTCACCTGCATAACAAAATGATCTATAAGGGTTTCTTTCCTGATGTCGTCACTTACAATGTCCTAATCAATGGGCTTAACAAACAAGCTCGTACTAGGGAAGCAAAGCGGCTTCTGTTCAAGTTGTTGTATGAGCAATCAGTGCCAAATAGTGTCACTTATGACATGCTAATAGAAAGTTGCAAAGATCTTGAATTGAAGAGTGCGGTAGATCTTATTAAAGGATTCTGCATGAAAGGTTTGTTGAATGAAGCTGACCAAGTTTTTGAGTTGATGCTGCAAAAACACAAGAAGCCGAGTGAAGTAGCTTATAATCTACTTATACACGGTCATTCCAGGGGTGGAAATTTGCATAGAGCCTTGAATCTTTTCAGAGAAATGGCTAATCTTGGATTTATTCCTCATACAGTAAGTATTATTGTGCTCATGAAAGAACTTTTTAAAGAAGGAATGAGTGAGGAATTACATCAAGTAATTCAAAGCACATTGGAAACCTGTAAACTTGCTGATGGTGAGCTAGCAAAAGTCATTGTTGAGGTGAACTACAAGGAAGGGAACATGGATGCAGTATTCAATGCACTTACTGAAATGGCCAAGGATGGCCTTCTTCCAAATAGTGGGAAAACCGCATTTTGTCACATGCCACAATAAAGTACTTATCATCTTAAAATAATCACACCAACTTTTCCCATGCATGAGGTAGAATGCATCAAGCAAGCAGGAAACTGGGTTGCAACAAATTGTTTCCCCTCATTTAGGTTTCTCATGCCATTGTGAATGTGGGAGAGCTGGTTTACTCCGATGAGCGACTTTCTTTCGAGAGGGTTAAATTCCCACTTTGCTTGAAAATTGTAGAAGGTCAGATTTTAAACTCCTTTTATCTCTGGACTTAGTACATACCTCAATTTTTGTCAATATCCTGCACATTGAACTTCCATATAAATAGGATTTTTATACTTTCTTTAGGAAGTTTAATTTTATCTAGTCTTAGGTTCCGATGTTTGAAAATTTCAATGTATGGACATTAGCTGCATTTTATTTTTTTTGGGTTTTCCTCTTCTGAAATGGCATCATCATGCTAAATTGGGATTTCCTCTTCGGAAATGGCATTATCATGCTAAGTGTTAACTCCCAGCATCTATGTCATATATTCCATCGATACATCGCCTTCTCCCATTGCTGATTTACTGGCCTTGCCAATGTGATGCCTCATTTTCCTATTGTCTATCTCTATTACATCTGCTATATTTTAGTGGTAGGTCAGTTTCATATACCAGCAACTCATTCACAAGAAAAAATAATTTTTGAATTCGTCTCAGCTATATAAGTAGGGTGCTAACTTGAAAAGGTGAAACAAGACGAAGAGAAGGAAGTGAGTTTCATTCAAGAAAGTGTGAGAACTCCAGGTATGATGTCTTTTACTAGTACATTTGGTTCACATAGTAAAACTACATTAGACAATAACATGATTGTAGATTAAAGAACAATTGAAGTAATTCTTAAGCAAAACAATGCTGTTATAATTCAACTCTTTCTGCCAGTAATTTGATACATGTTTTCCATTGTGAAATCTTCATTCCGTGCAGCTTAAGGAGCTTTTCTGTTCAAGAACATTGTATGTACCATTGATGAAGTCTGTTAATGGATGGCCATGGCTGTTTCGAGAGTAGGATTTGATTTACAGTGTCTTGCTTTCAGATCAGCTATCACTTAGTCTCTGTACTTCTGGACTAACTTTTTCCATTCTAATACCAAATGTAATAATCCTAGTTGCTACTTCTGGACTAACTTTTTCCATTCTAATACCAAATGTAATAATCCAAGTCTAGCAGCTAGTCTCAGAACTTTCTGATTTTGTAACTTTTATCAAAAGAACTTGAAGCTCAAAGTCTATCAGCCCAGAATTGTCAGTTAGAGGTAGAAGGCGTGTTCCATTTTAATAAAAACTCTGGTTGCATAAACTAGTACTGGCTTAAATATATCTTTTGACCAGTTAAACACTCCATCCATATTTCTCATACATTGACGTGCAATGTGGTTTTACTAAAATGGTATACAAAAATAATCGAGAACATAACAAGATCAGAAAAGACCAAGAACACTGCCCCAGGTCTTCTCACTTTCTATAAACTGCTAACATATTATGCATCTCAAGAAATTGTGGTGCATTTGTGTTAAGTAGGCTTCTCACAGGAAGCGACAGGGTGTTTTCATATTTCCCCACAAATGACTGTTTGCAAGTTCATCGAGAAGTTACATTTGATTGATTTGCTTCCTATGGTTCTAACGACACAAGTAGACCAACTGTTCCCTTGCTACCAGTTGACATCTCATCTTACTGAGTACGATATTTTGATTGTCAGGAGCATCTGTTCCGTGTGCATCATAGCTAGTTTCTAAGTGTTGTTATTCAGTTCAGTGTTTCCTCTAGATTGGGCATGAAGGAAAATTCTCTGTTTTTCATGAATAATCGCTTTGTGCAGATAATACAAGATGTTGAGGCAATATCTCTTGCAACAAATGAACATCCAGTAGCACTGCTTGCAGAACACACAAAAAAACTCTTGCAAAGAGATAATACTATTTACATGCATATCTTATCTCAAAGGCCAAATGCTGCTGCTGTTTCTGCATCCATACTTCACAAGCTTTATGGCATCAATTTGGTAAGTAATGATTAATCTATCTCCTGGAGTTCTAGTGCAAGGGGAAACAGATGTAAAAATTGGTAAGTAAGAGAAACAGATGCAAATAAATTGAATGTAGTCATTCTTTTGCTGGATCTGCTCTCAGTAGTGTATTCTGAGGGCCTTGGATTTTTCAAATCTGAATCTGATTCCACAATTGCAGGCAATTACTGCATTAAATCGTTGTTATTTGGCAACTCGTTTATTTGCTCACTCTTATATATTCAAATTGTCATCTTGAAACTATTTAACACTCCCTTGCCTTCAGATTCATTGCTTAACAAGCTTTGACCACTAGACTAAATGCATTAAATAATGAGGATTCACCAAATCCAGCTTTCACCCCACCCCCTAAATCCCCACCCTTTTTTCTTTTGATAGAGAGTCAAATACTTCTCTCATTGGAGTTATAGTGTAAATAGCTGAGAAATTACAGTAATCAAAGTTGATGAGCTGTCATAAGGGGAAAGTTGTACTCTACATATATCTTGTGATCTGTCACCTCACTCAGTCATTTTAGATTTTGAGAGCAAAGCGAATTAGGTTAGCAGCGGCACATTCAACCTGATTCGAACTGGAATCATTCAGAACCAGATTTTATGGGTAAAAAGGGGCCATGTTTCCATTGTGGCGTCAAACGTAAGTTCTCCTCTTGATTAATATTTTCTCCTGAAGTTCTCCACATAATATCTCATAATTAAGGTTTTATAACTCTTTTAGATATTTGAACTATTATTAGCCGAATCCCTCCACCTGTTTCAATACTTGGATCCGTATCCCTGAATCTTAGAATTTAGAGCATGAAGGATCCAAACTTTAGATTCGCACCTGTACTGACACATATACAACAACATACCAAGTGTAATCCCATGAGTGGGGTTTAGGGAGAGTAGGATATACACAGACCTTACCATACTTTTGTGGGGTAGAAAGTCAGTTTTTGATAGATCCTCGGCTTTAAAGAGGAGTATTTGAAGAAGGGTTGCAAGAAAATGACAAGATATGAAGTAAATAAACCATCAAATGGTAATACACACCGGAGAATGGTGGGTGGGGGATTATTTTACCGTTAAGCACTAGAGAAAGAGATAGTCCCTGTTGAATATTGTACAGTTAATCACTGTTGGCTTAGATGGTAACTTTCCTCCTTAAAATATCATGCAAATAAATGCAGTCTGCCAAGAGGCTAATTGTTCTGCATGGTACCTTGAAGTATCAAGCAAATCCTTTTCAATCTTTCCACCATAAAGCTCAAAGTTCAACTACTTTGTATGGTTCCTTAACATGGTGATGAAAATGTGAGTTCAAAAACAGTTCACACATTCTAAAAGTTTATGCATATTTCACAGAAATATTTCCTTTTGTTTTGCTGAAGAAATCCCCCCCTATACATACTCTAGTTTCGTGACGCTTCCGTTCTCATGAAATGCATTCTATACCTTTTTACAAGAAATCTCAATTGTCAGTGATCACTGTGCTTTAGTTTCTGAGATAAGCTTCTGAGATAAGTTTCTGCCTGTAAGAATGTTTTCTTATTTTGTCCCAGTTTATACACTAATTAATTGTGAACTCAAACAGAAACCATTCTTTGGAGAAATGGGCCACCTGAAAAACCAGTGCTCTGCAATGCATGTGGATCAAGATGGCGGGTTAGGAGGACACTAGATGGCTATATTCCCAGACATGGAAACATAGAAATAGAGAGCTATCAGCGACCTTCTGACATGAAGCCGGCTCGTGACGAAAAAAAGCTAGAAGTTGGAATAGAGGTTTCTGGACAGGATGGCTTGAAAGCTTGTCTTGAAGAGGAAATGAATAACATATCAAGCTTAGGTTCAGCAGGGTCATCCTCAGACAACTGCATGCAGATGGAAGAAACAAATGGTAAAATAATTTCACTCATATATAGAGCACTTGTCGCAGCAAATATGATGCACGTTCTGAATCAAATCCTTTCTTAAGCACTAGGGTCATAAAAAGTGGAGAACTAATGTCTTCCTATTTCTTTCCTCTGCTTTGCGTGATAGTAAGCCCAAAACTGTTAATCTCAAAGAAATTTATGAGATAGATGAAATTAGACAACCAAATCATTGTAGATGCACCTTCCCGAAAAGTAATCCTGCAGTGCATAGTCTTCTGATTCAAAAGAAAAGGAAGAAACAGTTCACCCAATATTATTGTTGCTTCCAATTAAGAACTTCTCTTATTCTATTGATTTTTAAATGGATAAATTTGCTCACCCCCCACCCCCACAAAAAGAGCTCTAAGACAACTTGATTTGCATGTATCAAGATTCACGACACTCGGATTTATTTTTACTCAGGAAATTCTTTTTGTTTCCCGATTATTGCGATGTGATTGTCAAATCACATTCAGGGTTTTACCAAAAAAAGGCGCAGGGAATCAAATGACTATATAATACTCTATAAACAAAATATTGGGTTTCTTTCTTGTTCATAGATCATTAATTATAGTGTCTCCCCTAAGCTTCAAAAACTTACTTTCCTTTACACAATGAACTGACATCGACAAATTACAGGTAATTTGGATTTTCAATAAAGATATGAACTGATCAGTCCAACTATACTTTAACCATACAAATAATAAAAGCTTTACCCCAAAGTAAAAAGATCTATTATATTAATACATTATTGTTTTATGTGCACTAACATTCACCTTTTGTTTGGAGAAGCATACAAAGATCTTCTCTGGAATCCTGACAGTGTCCCAAGAAGAAAGAGATCAGAGCGTAGAAAACGCATTTTGTCACCTGTTGAAAGACTCCAGAGGCAACTTCATAACATTCTACAGGAGCCAGACTTTGAAAATATCTCTGCCGATGATGAAAATATTCTAATTTATGCAAGGAACAAATACATTCCACCTAATGAGATTGGTCTTGGAGCTAAGCTGCTTGTATCGCCACCTACTGCTACAGAACACTTGACATCTCTGTCTCCAATGGCAGAAGATAATGATGCCTCTTGCTCAGTGAATGTTCCTGTAGGAAATTCCAATTCCAATTTGTAAGTGAATTTTGAGATGCATGCACAAGGTTCAAGCTGGTATGTGAGCCAACTCTTACTATCTAGCTAGTACAATGTTAAAACCATTTGAGCTGTTCCAACCTTACTTGATGTCCCCAATGGCAACGCTCAACAACTTGTGTGTTTTGAGACCATATAGTTTGCCAATAGTGCATTTATTTTGGAGATTTATAATTCTGCTGTTTTATTGGATGGGATTTCAATGAATTAGATATGTCTATTCTGCTTTTTGGGTGCATTTAATATGTCAATTCCGATGCTGGTCATAGTGTGCTTGCCTACAAGTTTGTTAGTGTAAATAAATGAATTTTGGGCCTAAATCAACCCCATGGGATAGCTTATGAGGGTAGGATTGCTCAAGTCCATATAAGGAATTCATAATTCCCTCATCGCACTTATGTGGGACTTAACACCCCGCCTCATGCCCAAGACTGGACATCTAGTCTGTGGATTATTTAATATGGGGCGCCCAACATCGGTAAATCATAAATTGGGATGAGTTTGACACTGACACCATGTAAAGAAATCTATTTTAGGCCTAACTCTACCCCAAAAGTTAGCTTGTGATAGGAGGATTGCCCAAGTCCATATTAGGAGTCCATAATTTCCTCATCCCATGATGTGGGACTTAAAAAGCCCAATATCCATTATTTACCGTTTGTTTGCATGGACTCCACATTACATGGATACTACATCAAGGGTATGTCGTTAAATTGTTCTCTAAAATGCTTCTGCAATTGCATCTTCCATATTCAGAGATGGGAGTCTGATTATTGAAGAAATAGGTATATCAGCTTTAGGATAAGGTATGTTCAGCCACAAAGTTTGAAAACTAAGTTCACCAAAAAGTCTCTTCGATCTCCGTTTAAGTTATAACGGTAAGTCAATAATATTTACACTAAAGAGAAGCTAGAGAGCCATTAATACATAATCCAGGAGCAATTAAGAGTCAGAATAATTTAGTATTGAGTTTCATAAATGCCCCCAAGTAGCAACATAAATCTAGAGGGTAGTGATGGGGTTCACCCGAACCCCCTCAGCAAAAAATTACATGTTATATAAAGTTATTTTCAAATTTTGTATGTATATATATATATATATTCTGAACCTCTTGAACATGAGATTAGAGGTTGATTAAGTGGTTGAGGGGGTTCAAAATTCACCTTGAGGTTTCAAGTTTAAATCTCAAGCACTACATTTATATTTTTCGAACCCCTTAGTGAAAATCCTTGATCTGCCACTTTATCCAATATAACTCTTCAAGAACTTTATATTACTTGATTGACTTTTAAGTAATACGAAGTAGTTTAATAAAAGCAACAAGCATTGTAGAAACCGGAAAAATGTAATCACTACCATAAAACTTCTTAGAAGGCCAGGAAATACAAAAACAGTATAAAGGAGCGAAGAGAGTAAAATATATTACTACTTAGAAAAGGAAAATAGGACATGGGAAGAAATGAGAACGTTAAATCTCTGTCATTCTTTTACACAGTGGCAGAGCAGTGTAAATGATAATAGCTGAAAAAGGAAACAATAGGAGTGATTCTGGGACTGGATAAGCATCTTAGGCTCCGGAGGGTCATACAACTTAAAAAGGCTACTTTTGGGTTTGTTAAAGAATAGATTTTGGGCCTAACTCAACCCCAAAGCCCAGCTCATAGGGTGAGGATTGTCCAAAACCATATAAGGAGACCAATTACCCACCCCATATCCCATGTGGAACTCTTAAAAGGGCCGTACCTTCGTATTCTTAGTTTTGTTTGAAACGTAGAATGCTTAATCTACAAAGTTAATTATTTTGCCAAAAAAGGAAGTAGTATTGGCGGGAGATATAATTTTATGCCAAAAATATTCTATAGACAAAATCTGGAATCAATCACTATATAATACTCTTATAGACTAAATATTAGGTTTCTTTCTTGCTCATAGATCATTAATTATAGTGTCTCCCCTAAGCTTCAAAAACTTACTTTCCTTTACACAATGAATTGACATCGATTCGATAAAGATATGAACTGATCAGTCCAACTATACTTTAACCATACAAATAATAAAAGCTTTACAACAAAGTAAAAAGATCTATTGTTTTAATACCTTATTGTTTTATGTACACTAACATTCACCTTTTGTTAGGAGAAGCAGACAAATATCCTCTCTGGAATCCTGAGAGTGTCCCAAGAAGAAAGAGATCAGAACGTAGAAAACACATTTTATCACCTGTTGAAAGACTCCAGAGGCAACTTCATACTAATCTACAGGAGCCAGACTTGAAAAGCTCTCTGCCGATGATGAAAATATTCTAATTTATGCAAGGAACAAATATATTCCTCCTAATGAGATTGTTCATGGAGCTATGCTGCTCATATCACCACCTACTACTACAGAACACTCGATGTCTCTATCTCCAATGGCAGTTGCTGGAAGTGAGTTTTGAGAAGCATGCATAAGGTTCAAGCTGGTAACTCTTTTATCTAGCTAGTGCAATGTTCGTTAAAACAATTTGAGCTATTCCAACTTTACCGGATGTCCCTAATGGCAATGACAACACCTTGTATGTTTTGAGACCATCTAGTTTGCTAATTCTACATTTATTTTGGAGATTTATATTTCTTCTGTTTTATTGGATGGGATTTCAATGAATTAGATACGTCTATTCTGCTAATTCTACATTTTAGAGGGTAGCGAAGGGGGTCACCCGAACCTGACCCCCTTGGCAAAAAGTTACACGGTATATATAAGGTACTTTTAAAATTTTGTATGTATATATATAGATTTTGAACCTCTTGAAATTATGGTTAAATAAAACGGAAGAATTATAAAGAAATGCACAACTGGCAATCTAGATGGTCTCAAAACACGCAAGTTATTGTGCATTGCCGTTGGGGACATCCGGTAAAGTTGGAACAACCCAAATTGTTTTTTATCAACATTGCACTAGCTAAATAATAAGAGTTCGGTTTCCCATACCAGCTTGGATGTTATGCATGCATCTCAAAATTCACTTACATATTGGAATTTTCTATAGGAACATTCACTGAGCGAGAGGCATTTTCTTCACAGATGTACTGCTGATGGTCCTGAGCATGCAAGTTATTGTATCTACTTGTTCTGATGGAGCATCAGATACTTATTGCAGAAAGTTAAATTTGTTCAAGGTTAGGAAACTCTTCCTGGGCTTCTTTCTTTATTTTTATATTGCGGTAACTTAGGTTGATGATTTTGCAAAATTTATATGGGGCAGTTCTAAGGGAAAGTTTTTTTAGTCAGTAAATTAAGCTTTATTGGATTTATTGTCTTCTGACTTAGGCATTCTAAATGCTCAGAACATTTTTATTGGTCTGTGGCGGGATGGTTTTTCTGATAAAGTTGTCATGTATTATGCTCAATATTTTCTCGTAATGAATTTGGGAACTTTCTTAGCCTTTTCTTGTTTTAATTATAGAATGAAACTGGGTGTGTTGTTGTATTGAAACTGCGTCTGGGACATTGGTACTATCATGGGTCACCACTTGCAAAATTGGGTTTACCAGGTTATTCAGCAAGCGTTAATAACTTAGGGAGTTGCTAAATTTATTGATTGTAGTTCTTTGAATAATTATAACATATATTAGCTTTGCCTTGGTCATTAACTCATTATACATCCTTTTTCTCAATAGATTTTTGTCATATTTTTCTTCCAATCTTTGCTTTGGAAACATTTCTTTTGAGCCGAGGGTCTATTGGAAACAACCTTTGTACCCACAAAGGTTGGGGTAAGGTATGCATACCCTCTCCAAATCCTACTTGTGGTATTACACTGGGTAGGTTGTTGATACATATTTGTGGGATGGTTAAGGACATGGATACTTTAAACAGATTGTCACATGTTAAAGGCTTGGAACACTAACCATGCGCATATGGCATTTTTCATCTGCTTCATGCATGATGAAGATGACGATATTTGAAGTCTTGGTCATGATGTAAAATGGGTATCCTTCAAATTTCTGTGGTCATTGGTCATGAAGTTTCTTATATAAGCTGCTTCTGGAGTATGATGTACCTAATGTTGGTGCTCAGTGTCAAGCTTGTGAAGCTGAGCATTTTAGTACAAGCTAGATCAGTTGCATTTTCACAGTGGTGTGGCAAGGCTGTACCTGATTGCTTCATAGAGTGCAAAATAGGTATCTGAAGTTTTCAGTTGAATCTGAGAGTTTAATTGCCTGAAATAAGAACTAACGCTATTATATAAAGGATCTTTCCTTGCTTATCCAGCTGGACGTTGATTATCTTATTAAACAACTGCGCCCTCTTCTGTTGTTCAGGAAGCTCTGAAGCTACTTGGATGAGGCATATGCCCTTGAAGATCATGTTCACGACCACTAAAGCAGCTCAGGAGCACCTGTTCTTTGGAAAATCTAGTTGGGGTTAATTATTTGCTTTAACGAAGCTCTATTTTATTACTAGGCTTTCTACTTCCAGGGCAAATCAACTGACGAAGTTGGCCGTTAAACTCTGTTTTATATTGAACTGATAGCTTAACCTATACAAAAACCCTCTTCCAAGGAAAAAGAAAAGCTGAATAAATGTTGTTTTGGTTATATTGTGTTTTTTTCCCAGGAGATGCTAATTTATAAGATATGAGATCTTTGTAGGATCATTCTATTGTATTCAAATTATAATTTGTAGTGTGAGATCATTTCCTTGGAAATTTAGAAAAATATTGCAACATGCAATGAAAGAGACTTTACAATTGGCACTGGTTGATCGTTTAATTTTTGTAAGCAAGATTTTTTAATCGAATTTGCAGAAACAAGCAAGATGTGCTTTGAGTTTTAGCTGAGAAATCCACGATTTCCATTGGCCTTGTTTGCATTTTTTGGTTTCGATTTTGAAAAACTATAATCAGTTTCTTGATTCAGATGCCACCAAACGAGTTTGTCTTTCTTTGTTACAACACTCGGAGTCCGTTCCTAACAAAATGACAAGGAAATATCAAACGTAGTGGGAACGGGTTTCCTTTTCGTCATTCTTTTATAACCATTAATCTTCGTCACCGTAACATTTTTTTAAACAAATTTTGGACAGTCTACGAGTTCGGAAGTATTCTGACAGCAAAATATCTTGTACTAAAAATGAGCAGGTCGCAAGTGATTTCACACGAAAAATACTCATAGTTTCACGCGTCTTTATCTGAATCTTGAAGCATAAAGCTCTCGAATGTACAATACAAAATTTCCACAAAACTGAATTTACTTCCTTTCCCTTCCAAAGGGAATGGAATCAAAAGTAACAAGAATTAGTACAGCAGATTGCAGAACAACTTGTTTATTTTTTACACTAACATCAAGCTTTAGATTTTGCAACTCAAACTTAATTGAAGGCTGGCTTCATTTCTTTTTCTGTCCCCCTTACCTTCAAAAAGAAACTCCTACTTTGTCAAATGTTGCAGTAAATCAATAGCATTGAACCATGGAATTATTTACAACTAGTGGGTGTCAAAACAACATAAAAGCTCAATTGCACTAAATTTCCTGATTTCAGTGTCTATTGATGCCTAAGAGCAGCTTCTCATCCATTTAAAGATGACTGATGTCTCCTTTCAGGAGAATTGTCTCATTATCACTTAAAAAGGGGAAAAAAGAAGACGAAAACTACTCCAGATTTCATAAAATGACGAATCAATGTATGATTTTATCTCTCAATCCTATGTATGATCGACGACTCGGGATGCTCAGGAAAATACAACAATATAGATAGCTAAAAGGTCATGATAGGCAGAATAAGGCGAAAATGAGTAGCTTAACAAAGACGGATGATATGCCAAGCAGCGGATGCATTTATATGTGCTCATCAATCAGAGACAAGTAAATCTTTCTATTTCTTTCAGATAGCAGAGTTAGAAAGCAGTAGGATTATTTCACACTGGAAGCAATCTATTGTGAATGTTAAGGTACTTTTAAGGTTACTAACTAGACTACAGGCAATACTCAGTACATTGCTATTCATTGTCAAAGAGCAATATTAGCTAGCACGAACCAAAAACTAGAATTAACAAGTAAAATTATCCTTACATCAAAGCAAGCATCCTTCCGCAAACTTCTCTCATCTTGAAGAGAGCCGTTGATATATATCATCAGCCAAGGCCTGCCTCGCGCTTCCACCATAATAATAGAAAGACTTCTCATTCTCTAACACCCTTGGAGGGGAACCATTCTCTTCTGGCTCCCTCCAAAGCTCTGGCTCTGGCTCCCTCGCAATCTGACACAAGTTGTGCAATACACAACAAGCAACAACAGTTTGGGGTGCATGACTTAGTCCCACATTCAAATTCTGAAGAATTTTCCACCTTCCTTTCAACAAACCTATAGCTTCCTCAACCATCTTCCTCCCCTTCAACAAGGCTTCATCATAGGCATTCTCAGCAGGTGAGCCAGTCCTATTCCCAGAAAATGGAGTCAGCAAAAACGACAACAAAGGAAAACACCAATCCCCAACAATGTATGGCCTCACATGTTCTCCTCTAACATTAACCCCTTTGTCCCAAACAATATCACCAGAAATCAACCTATTATACAACAGACTATCTCTAAAATGCGTAGCATCATCAAATCCACCTGGGGCTTTCACACAAACATCCCAAAAGAGCTTCTTGTGATCAGCAACAACCTGAAGCAATATGGATGGGAACCCATATCGGCTATAGTACATAGACGAGTTTACGGTTTCCGACGGAAGATGCTGCAACCTCACAGCCGTTCCATCAATAGCTCCACATATATTGGGGAGTGAAGTCAGTTCTTGAAACCCCTGAGTGGTCTCCACAAGACGCCGTCGACTCACCGGAATCTTGATAAACTCCGGGTAAAGCTTAGTAGCCAAGAGGCGGGTGACCATGTTAGTAATTTTAGAGATCAGGTAAGGTTCAAGACCATAACGGGTAGCTAGGGTTTTAGCAGAAAAGCCGTGGAAGAGTCTAGAAAGTACCATAGCAACGGCGTAATCAGAAGGTAGAGAGAGTTGGGACTGGGTAATGTAGGGTTTCAGCTTATCAACAACGGTGGTGAAAACGGGATACGATAGTCCGTAAAGGGAACGCCACTGAGCGTCACGGAGAGGAGCTTCCATAGCCCAAATATGTTCAGTGGAGAGGGCACGAAAAGCGGAGACGGAGAATTCGGCGGCTGCGGGCGATGGTGAAGAGGGGTTATTGTTAGGTGAAGAAGTGGAAGTTTTGGGTTTTTTCTTGTGTGGGTGGGTAGCGAGATAAGAGAGAACGGATGCGATGGTGAAGAAGAGGAGAGGTGCGGCGGATGTGGAGGTGAGGAGGGAAGTAGGGGAGGTGGGTGAAGCAACGGAGGAAGAGTAGGATGATGTGGAATCGGAGAGAAGAGAGGTGGTGGGGTCAAGGTGGTTGTGGAGGTGAAGAAGATTTGTTAGCATCAGCAGAAAAGATTGATCCATTGTTTACCGAGAAGGAAGTTGAAGGTCGACTTTGCCGGAGACGACCGACAGGGTTTTGCAGCCACCGGCGGCAATATCAATCAAGCCAATTCATATTTGACGACGAGTAGGAGAGGGGGTGGGGTGGAAGAACTATCAGCAGAAGAGCAAATAAGTCCATGTAGTTTCGCAAATGTTGCAAACAAGCCCATACTCTTTAGTGCACTGCAAAATTTAAACCGAATAGTGATTACAGATTTGCAAAAAAAAAAAAAATTCATCATTAATTTACTATATATTAGAAGAGTCTAGGATTTACTACCATTGTTCCAATAAAATCACTACAAATGTCCAATACTTACTATATAAAATATATAAGTGGGCCCCACCACCTTCCACTTAAATACTACATATTATATATTATTAATTACTATACTATAAATCACTACTAATATCCAATATATTTATCAAACTATATAAATGGGTCCCTTACCTTCCACTTAAATACTACATATTATATATTAATTATTACTATACTATAAATCACTACTAATATCCAATATATTTATCAAACTATTTAAGTGGGCCCCACCACCTTCCACTTAAATACTACATATTATATATTATTAATTACTATACTATAAATCACTACTAATATCCAATATATTTATCAAACTATTTAAGTGGGCCCCACCACCTTCCACTTAAATACTACATATTATATATTA